TGTTTACCGATTATTAATAACAAATAACATAGTAATGTACTAGAGATGGGTCTGTGGGCGCGAAACAGCGACGACAAAGAGAAAATAAATTAATCATTGACAAATAATGTATAACAATGCATAAATTAATTCAAATACTTTAGCTTTTATTGCTTTAATTTTGTTTTTTTTTACAAGCTGATGTGTACAACTTTTTTATGTATTAAAGATATAAAATAATTGACTACAATTCATAGAACTATGCCAAATCAACCTTTTTTTCGATGGATAATAATAATGAGCAAAGCATATTTGATTACCAATTTAAATTCAACATATTTAGCCAAATTGTGCATTCCGATTAAATGAAATTACATTTTTTACTAACATTCCAAAAAATGTAGATTTATTTATGCTAGGTTTATTAAAAAATTATTATTTTCGTCGTATTTTAATACCCTTTAGACTAGCTATCAAATTAACAAATTTTAATATGCTTTAATGTATTTAACTAAATGAGCAAAACGGGCCCCCATAAGTCTCTTCGCCAGACGAGTTTTGAAGCGGCGCAAAAAGGGACGATCCATAGGCGGAAGGAATTCAGATCTTATCGACCTTGCTGAGAGATTTCTTTAAATAATATTCATGAAAAATGTAAACACACTGCTGCTTCAAACTATAATTGTCATAAGTTTAATTTAAATTTAAATTGTTCTAAATAATAACAGTATAATTAAATAATTTAAGAAAATAAATAGGCGCAAATGTCTGCTCTTCAATAAGTTCTCTCAATATGTTGATAAAATAGACACGAAATTATTGATTTTCCAAAATTCACTCTTCACTAAATGCACTTAAAATTTAAGCACGCACCAATAAATAAAATTATTTACCTTTGTTATGTTTCAGTTTTGACACATAAATAACACAAAATGAAACAAAAGGCTACAGGAAAGTTGTTAATCCCGTCGAATTCACATTCAATGCGATAATTTCCAATAGAAGCTTTAAAGTAATTTAATAACTCTAACGAGCTGCCTCCTGCATTTGTTGTCTAATTAAAAATGATAATGTCAAATGATTATTTTTAGTGGCACACACGCACGCTGATATTTTGACAAAAGTGTCAAACAATTTCCACGGGTTAAGCGTGGCAAAAACAAAATGTCAAAAGCTCGCATAAAACAATATGCAAATGCGTGAAAATTTCAATAAACCTGCCACGCAAACGGAAATAGCGCGCAATAAAAAACTAATAAATTTAAAGCGATTTTATCGCGACCCACGCGAATGACAAGCCGGGAGCATGTTATTTAAATCGCGATAAGGTGCGCCCTTATTTTTAATTTGTGCGAAAATAAAGAATAATATAAACAATCATAAAAAGAACAACAATAATAGGCCGGCGAGGAAACAAATTATTTTCAATTTCAAGCAGAACGGAAATCAGCGGCCATGACGAAAACAGCTACTACATGTACTTCAGACCTCGATGGTCACACACAGACGCACACACCAATGCAAATACAAAATGGCCGGCATTCTAGGCGGCGTCAAACCTCATTGTTTTTATTTGCTTGGCCCACAGCCGCATGGTGATTAGCTGTCACGCCGTGGCGAAAACAAAAATGAATTATTATCGTCCGCCGCGGCACTCCAAATGTTGACATAGATTTAAATTATTTGTAACAAAATCAACGAACTGTGACGACGACAACGACGACGAGGACATCGCGAACAAGGACACAATTTCGAGTATCTCAGTTTAGTTCAGCCGGAAGCAAGGAAGGAAGGAAGAAGGAAACGCTCATACTGATTTGATTAGCAAACATTTTTGGCGTGAAAATTGAAGACAACATTGCAGATTCTCGAGTACTTACAACTGCTCGTCTAATCTCTCTTTGTGACAAGTGTAGGAAACAAACAATTAATACAAAAAGTTTGCAAACAGCCGCTAAATATTGTCCTGTGGCAATTATAAAACCATCATCGAGCCTTTTTCATTTCAACATCAAAGCTCTTGATGATGTCAACAAAAAGCAAACCTTAGCCTTTATGGCCTTCAAGCCCTTTGACAATATTTTAATACTCTTTTTGCAAATATCCTTTCAGCCCTAAAGGGTATATTAGTTGTAAATATTTTGCACCCGGGAATACTCTATATGGTAGGGAATTGGCAGTTCTTGAGGCATTTCAGCTATCGGCCTTTCCTGCCGTCAGTTTTTATTCAGCGATTCAATTGTTTCGAAAAAGGCTGCCAAGTCCAATTAATGTGCACTAAATAAGAGTAACTAGCTGTTAATTGAAATAACGATTGAAAATAGACAAAACAATTATTTTCCCAGCATTTAAGCAACTTTAATATCATAGCCATTATACAAGCTAGAAAGGGTATTCATATACCACAGTTGAGTGCTTTCGCCATTAATGTTATCTTCTTAGTGTCCTTTAACTACAATGCCACATAATTTGCTCCACTCTTAGTAACGGCAATAAGTAGTTCAAGTTCCCATTGGTTGCCAAGGCTGAATTTTCCTTTTCCTTTCTGCTAGAAAATCTGTTAAATGCAAAGCTGTCAGAGCTTGGTATCATTCCATTGTTGTTCTTATTCCCATTTATCAGCTTAGCATATATAATAGCAGTAGCTACTTATACACAAGTATTGTCTGTGTATTGTATAATTCCCAATTGTTGTTTATTCTGTGCGCCCTTTGCTCGTCACGCAAAATTAAAGCTATTACGGCTCATTCCTTCCGTATTATGAAGGTTGAAGACCAGCCATAACCACCTTCTATGTTATTGTTTTTAAACAGCATTTAATGCAATGCTTCACGAATATCTGTAAATTTCTTGCACATTATGTTGATTTCTTTAACGACTGCAAACTTTGCTCGTTAAATAAACACTGACAACGGGGAAAAAACAAACAACAAAATTGAAACCTTTTCCGAATAAAAGAAAAAGCTCAAATGTCCCGCAAATCAGCATCTTCTTGTCATCGGATTGTAAAATCTAATGATGCGGTCACCCATCAAACGCCAAAAATCAATTTTTATGTATTCCAACAATTTCCTAATGAGATTCCCTATTTGAGAAGTGCATGCTAGTTCATGATTTAGAAGGCTTACAAAATATAACCATAGGAGCCACCCAATCTGAAGGAAGGCCTTATAAGAATCAATAGAGATAAATTGGAACCAAAAGCTAAACTAAGACAACAAGACACATGTAGCTTGTTTGCGGTTTCTTAACTGCATTAGGAATCTGTAGCAACTGTATTTCTATTAAACTTGTTCTCCTTTGAGTATCCATCCATTTAGGATTACCTTGTAACAAAGTGTTGGCAGCTAGCTCTCTTAGCCACAAAGCATTCATCTTAAATGAATCCACAGATTTATAGAAATCTGAAATCTGTACACCATCTTGTAATTTTAAGTTCCTGCTTTTTTTTGTAATATAATATACACATACTTACATGAAATATATTTGTTTATTTTTAAAAATGTACATCAATACTACCTAACTATAATTATTTAATCGCATATTTAAAGAAATAGCTAGCTATTGCCTTTTTATAAAGCATCTCTAAGAAGAAGAAGTTTAACAGTCTTCATGTAGTATTTTTGACTTTATTTCCAGCATTTTCAACAATGGCTTGCATATTTAAATGAAGACTTTTTTAACAACATTCCACTCAGCATCTTGCAATTTTTTTCACGTACCCTATTAGTTGCTTTCAGGATTGTGCTTATTTCAAGAGCAAACCTTTTGGTCTTTATGCGTCACTTGTCGCAACATTTTCCTTATCTTTTTTGTATTTTTGACGGCCATAATTTTTGCTGTGTAAGCAAATAAATTGCAAAATGTCAAAAGATGTTGACAGTCATTGGGCATTAAAATGGATATAGTGTCGTTTGCTGGACTTTTTCATTTGACATGCTGCAGTCTGGTTTCGTTTCTTTATTTTTGTTATTTTTTTGCACAACTTTTGGGCTTTTGTGAAATTTAAAATAAATTTAATATTCGTAATATTTTGCTGTTCATGCAAATGAACCGCATATCAATTGGCCAATCAGTTGAAAACGCGTGGGACTGTAATGACATATTCATATATGCATACAGCATTTAAATCAACTTAATTCCCTTAAAAAATTTAAAATAATATTATACGCTTAATACTTTTTTTGGGCAGTTGAGGAAAAATGCTGAAGGCCATGTACAAGTAGAATGAAAAAACTCGCATTCAAATAAGCCGTTTACTCATCTGGCCAAGCTGTTGCAGGAAGAAGCGTTAAGAGTCTACTATTTTTTATGATAAGAAGTCTACAAAGGCTGATCGGTGCACAAATAATAAGGATAATGATGACTATCTGAAAACACATGGTATTTTTTAATGGAAAGCCCCTGCAGCTTCTGAAGTTGAAGTCGTATGCCGCAGGGCCACTCTTTATACTAAGTATAGATAATTCAGTGTACCTTTCAGCACTATAATTTTAAAGATCTGTAATCTGTATTTTACGCATTCAACCATCATCTATAATGCTGTATTATTACTATTCTCAAACCTATTCTTAAACTCAAACCATGTTAAAAGCAAAGAGTATTAAAGCTGAGTCTGTTGAAAGCAATGCTCGTATTCCAGCAACAAGTTATGCTTTTCTTTAATATACGATTTCCCAACTTACTTAAGAACTATAACTTAGTTGGGTGCTGTCCCTAATTCATGCAAATCCAAGAATAATAAAAGCGTTTGAAGACATAATTTAGCTACAGCAGCAGTTTTTGTTTATATTTTATTCTACCTTTGAAATTTGAAATATGCCCCAAAAATATATAATAAGTTAAATAGAGATTTTGAAAGGCATAAGGCTAATCCAAAGAAAATAAAAGCTTTTCTAGACATTCCTTAGCTGCAGCTGCAGTTTTTATTTATTTTGTATTCCACCTATTTAAAATATGCCCCCATTAATTATTATTATTAAAATGAGTTCAATAGAGATTTTGAAAGGAAAAACATAAAATTGTTTATGAAATCATATTCCAATATATTTATTGTGCACAATCATCTTTTGCTGAGGCGAAACCCCACTTTGCTTTCATTGATTAGGGTTTCCGATTTTTGTTTTTCCAGCTGCTGTTTAACCACCAGGTCCTCCTCAAGTACCTGTTCTGCATCCTCGAGCTGTAAATGATCGTCATCGGTCAAGGCCATTGAACGGCTTGCAAAGAGTTGATGGACGCTCTTGTTTTTGTGCATATGGAGTATGCATTGTTTGAAGACTCGTGAAATGTCGATGACATGGAATTTCTTGTTGTCACAATCACATGCCGCCTGTGGCAAGGAGTTGGTGCACATGATGAGCTCGATGGGCGACTCCGTGAGCAGCTGGATAGCATTGCCGGAGAAGACGCCGTGAGTGACAACGGCATAGACTTTCGAAGCGCCTGCCTCAATCAAACGTTGCGTGGCAAACAGCAATGTGCGACTGGTGTCTGCCATATCATCAACCAATAGGGCCGGCTTCCCAGTCACATCGCCCACCAGCACCATGTCGCGCACCTCACCCGGTTTCACTCGATCCTTGTGCAGCAATGCCATGCGCAGGTCCAGTTGAGCGGCAATCGAGGAGGCGATTTTAACGGCTCCATTGTCGGGCGCCACAATCACCATCTCCTGCCAGTTGGGCAGATAGCGCTGTATCCAGGGTATGATTGCAATCTCGGCGCTTAGATTGTCGCAGGGTATGTCAAAGAAGCCTTGCAGCTGATCCGCATGCAAATGCAGGGTGAGGACGTGATCTACGCCAGCCAAGACCAGCATGTTGGCCACCAGTTTGGCCGTAATGGGCTGATGGAAGGACTGCATCTTGTCCTGACGCGCATATGGAAAGAAGGGCAGCACGGCTGTGATGCGATGGGCCGATGCATAACGACATGTCTGGGCCATAATCAATAGCTCCATCAGCATGTCGTTGACAGCCCCACAATGCGATTGGACAATGAACACATCGGCGCCCCGGATCGACTCCTCCAGCTCGAAACGTATCTCGCCATTAGCGAACTTGCCACGCAACACCTGCGTCTCCGCAATGTTTAAATGCTCGGCTATCAGTTGTGTGAACTCTGGATGTGAGGAGCCGGACAATATGACCAGGCGGTGCATTTGGGCATTGAGCACATCGAGCCTCTAAATGCTTGGCCAGCCCGCAGATGAAGGCAAGCACAAACTTTTTTGAATTTATTTTCCCACTTACTCGTGCGAATATGTCAAGTGTCAGGCAACAGTCTGAAGTGCTGATCAAAGCAGCTTCCAATACCAAATAATTCTGGCCCCAGGCCAGCAGCTGTAATTAGCTAATGTGGCTCTGTTTACAAGCAGCGCCCGCGGCGTATTCAACAATTAGGCATAATTAGTGGCCCCTGACTTTGTGAGCTTAATAATGTCACTCCAATCACTAATCGTTGCCCGGGGCTATTGTAAAATATCGCGTGGTTATGCATGAAAATTGTTCGCCGGTCAGCTTGGTGGGGGAAAGTACACGGAAGATGATAGTTAATAAGAAGACTGTGAAGAGCATGCAAAAGGATTTGCATTATAAGCACTTAAGTCTAAGAAAATCTCTCTGCTACATATGGCCTTTCAAGACATTTTAATATTAAAGATATACTTGGGTAAGTGATGCGTGACGTGCGAGTAATTTGACAAAATTACTTAAATTACTGCCTTTATAAAGCCACACAGACAAACAATTAGACAGAGAGACAGACAATTAGAGGAAGGGAGACTTGTCTCGTCCTGTTGGTAAAGAATTTTTATACTCTTGGCCTTCATTTTCATATGCTTTTGACCCTTTTGGAGTCAAGGAAATCACAAAAGACATTTCGATCTACTCCATTGGATCTATCTAGACCCAACATTTTGATATTTCAGAGATTTCAGACATTTTAACATGATATTTCATATCATACCCAATTATTTCAGCTATCTAGCTGATATCATATAAGCTTTCGCAGTTTATAACAGCTTTCAAAACCATTAGAAAAGGAACTTCGTGCTTGTTTGCTTTTAACCTCCTTACATTAAAATAAATTATTTTCCTTTGGAGAGCCTTCTTTTCAAGTTTCCACTGTATTTAAATCTATTGAACTATCTCTAAAAATCCCCCACCAAAAGTGTATTCCACTTGTTGGGTAAGGCTTTAGAATATGTTTTACATTTGTACGAATACTATGGCAATTAATTTGTAGTTGTCATATAACATTTTAGTGTCATATTTTTTCTCCTTTCTAACGTAAGCAACAAAATTAAAAGTTTTCCTTGAATGGCACGTTTTCCGCATAAAACCCTTCTGCATCTTCTGGCACCTTTCCTAGTCTTGGCCACATTTTGGGAGGACGCTCTATACACGGCATGGTTTTCGGACAGAACCTGCGAAGAGATGGTCATGGTATTGGGGATTCCGAAATGGTTTGCCGAACTCATACTTATGGTAGACACACTGCAGACCCTTGTCATCTCGTTACTAATCATTTGCCGATTTCACGTGTTGGCGGGCGTGGTTATGCTGCTTGTTCAGTTATTGGCAGATACTATGCTATTCGATGTGTGGCAGTTATTGCGCGAATTCGGCGTGGCAGGTTGTGTGGTATTGCTGCTGCTGTTTGAGCGACAGAGGCTTAAGGGCGAAATTCCCGAAATAGGCCAGGATGTGCAACAAGTGCTGTTGCTATTAGCACGCATTTGTATGGCCTGCGCCTGCCTGCTCTGGCTGAAGGACATAAATGAGGTGTGTATTTCGAAAGCATTCCTAAAAATAAAACAAAGTGTAGGAAATGTTTTCAAAAGAATAATTATGCGTAGCTTATGTCGATTTTACTCTTTCTATTTATTGACAAAAAATACCTTTAATCTGTTTTATTCGTTTGTTGTTTTGATGATATTAAAAGCTACTTTTAAACTACACTGCAGTCCTTCTGGATGTTTGCACAAATTCAATCATTTCTAGTCGTTCATTAAGTTTATAATCTGTGCTCGATTGCTGGTATAAATCTCAAACTAATTTTACGCTAGCCTCGACCTAAGATTTCCCTATTTTGCAAGAATTTATAAGCTTCTGTTTAACAATTCACGAGCTATATTTAAATTACATTATAAACATTTATCCCGCAAAAACATTTATCCGCTTCATACTTCTACTACTCTCTAAAAGTTAATGTTTAATACTATTGCTTTAACACTTTGGAATCCATAAAATAAGCTTAAATATTTACATAAAATATGAATCTTTTTATTTTAAAATGTTTTCTTTGAACCACTTCCCTCAGCCGATTCAGTTATATTATATTTTAAACTGAATAATAGACTTGATAATAATGTCCTTACAGCTCATATTCGATGTCTTTGCATTCGTCTGCCTGGTCTTCATATTATTTGGGTTTCACTGCAAATTTGTCTCCGCTCTGACCGCCTTTGCCCTGCTCGTCTGCAATGTGCTGAAGAATGGCTTCTGGTGGCAGAATCCCACGTCGGAGGACAACGACGCCGAACTCTTTTGTCGCACACTGACAATGGTCGGGGGTTATCTGTTGTTGGCACAACTAGGACCTGGCAAATGGTCCCTGGATTCGTACAGAGTGTACGTGTAGAAGTGTGTGATGTGCACATACATATATACCCAATCAATCTATGGCGGCGTTTCCATTCCTTTCAAGCGCTTACTGCCATCTGAGTGGTGGAGGAAAAAAAAAAGAAACAGCTACCTGGAAGCTACCTTTGGCAGTTTGCTTGTCGGATTAAGACGTGAAAGTCATTAAGTGTTGGGCGTTTGTTTGTTTCTCGTCGCTACGGCAAAAAGTCTGAGTTTATTCCTCCACAGGAATTTGCACACGTGTATGTGTGTGGGTGGATGAGGTGAAGCGAAATAAACGAAATACGCGTACAAACAAAAAAGAGCCAACAAACAGTTCATTTTTATTTCTATCTGTGCACCTTCCTACCTCATTATGCGCACTCAAACGCCATTTGATTTGCACGCCTTCTCTGGCTCTCTTCTGGCCCTTTTGTGCTGGCCGTGTATATTATTGAAAAGTCTCGAGTTGTGGCACTTGCCGCTTAAGCGGCTTCTCAACCGAAACTGCACTCCACAGGACGTGGCAAGGCGTAAAAAGATGGAGAAGGTATATGGAGAAGGCAATGCTGTAAAATTCTTAAACACAACATGGGTCCGTGCGGGCCAATGGAGGCAACGACACAACAAGGCAAGTGGAAACTCAAAAGGCAACAGTGCAGTTAATGAGTTTTGGTTAAGGTGGCGCGGTCTGCACATGGCACTGCAGTCAACAAGCTCATGGCCGACAGCACCACCAGCACCACCACCACCAGCCGCCCCAACTCAATGACGACCACGACGCAGTGACCTTCGCTCTTGACTTAAAATCCATTTGCATAAGCGACCCGCTCGCGCATACACTGCACGAAACTGGCAACAGTTGCTACAACATTGTGTGGCAAATAGCAGAGTCCGAACGAATAAGTGCAACAGTGGAGCAATGCAACTGCATTCTGCAGCTACAATATGGGCGGACAGTGGGCTGTTTCTGTTTCCGTTTCTGTTTGGTTTGTCAGCTTGACTGCATTTTGTTTATCTGTAAGTTGTGCTTCGATTCGCAGCGTTAATTAAAAGACTCTGGCGATTTATTGACAATCGTTGCTGAAAATAAGTGACGAAAGACAAACAAGTGCAAATTTACGAATACAACGGACAACTGGATGAACGAGTATGTGACAAGCTCTGAGAAAGGATGACAATGCAAGCGATAAGCACCGTTGATGTGGCAAGGGTACAATTAAAAGAATTGGCATTGGAAGTGGAAGGCATTGATGGAATTAACAGTATTCCGTAACAGTAAAGTATGTCCAATAAAAAAAGGTGGGACCTCCTTTGCTACAAATTTCGGGCAGATACTACAGATAATTCACGACTAAAATTCAACTAAATGAATCTCCTTTTCTTGATAGTTCGATTTATTAGCTAAACACAACAATATTAAGTGATTGTTACACTGATATTTCGATTAAATAACTAAACACAACTTGCTCAATTTCTCTTTATACTTGTAGTTGCCATGCAAAGCCATTTTTTTCAATAAGACTTTCCCCAGCAATTGAAAACTGGCTGAGGACGATTTATAATGCACATAAATGTCAATATGATTTGTATTAGAATTTAGAAAACGCCTAACATTTTGCTTATAAATAATTTTAAACTACAGAAGCAGTAGCAGATGAGGTCTGCTACTTATACTAATAAATGCTTTCCATTAAAAAAGCTTTTGCAATTTAGCTGCATATTTAGGTAATATTTTTTTTTTGCAAATTCGAACTCATCATGGCTACCAAAATTATTTGCCTAGGTATATGCAACTTTTTTATGAAACATGCAATTACTCTGGACAGCTTGCACAACTTTGCAAAACAAAAAACAACCAGAAGAGGTAGAGAAAGAAATATAATCATGTACCCTTGTTTGGCTAAAAAGTTATGACAAAACCTTGCTAGCAAGCCAAACGGGAATTTTCGGTTCATACTTGTCCCCAATACCTTAGCAACTTAGTCGCTCAACATCAACAATGGAAAGCATAATTACGATAACTGAAATTCAAGACAAGAAACACGCCCAAGTGTGTTGTTAGTATGATGTGCTGTTGTTGTTGTTGTTGCTGATGCTGTTTTTCCTCTAACTTGTCACAAAAGTGCAGACGTGTAATTTCCTAAATGAAAACAGGCGACCAGCCAAAAATGTATTAAAATTCATACAAGAACAGCAGCCACATACTCGCACTCGTACTCGCACTCGTAAGCAACAAAAGTCTAGTAAAAACGTAATTTTAGCAAGTTGCTCAAAAAATAAAAGCTAGGGTGGCAACAAGTAACAAGCAACAAGAAGCAACAAGAAGTAAATTTAAGCAAGGAGGGAAGTGGAAGGCGTGCAACGTGGCGTATGAGCAACATACATAGCGCATATGTAAATGCGTTTAATTAAAATAGTGCAGCATAATATATGTATGTATGAACGACTGTGCATGTGTGCGTTCGTTTGTCTGTTTGTGTAGAAAGAGCAAAACATTTGCATAAGTAAAATAAATATGTAAATACTCGCAACAAGAAATTCGTACAAATTCTGAAGCCTGCGGGGCATATTTTGAGCTGTTAAAACAATTTACCTGGATTACGAGCTATAGCAATAGTTGTATTTGGCTAAAAATCTAATCAAATTAAATACAAACTATTTACGTCTTAAGCACAATATGTTTAATTAATTTGGATAACGCCAGGCTGCCTGTGAAAACAAACCGCAACACGAACTGTCGAAATTCTGACACCACATGTTTTGGGCAAACAAAACAGAGTTCGCTCCATAAATGCCAGCTCCTGCACTGGCTGCTGTTTTGGTCGTTGTTTTTGTTGCTGCATGCTGTGTGCATTAAACTTTTGTCTAACCAACTAACTAATCCAGGCGATTCTGTTTGTTTTGGTGCGGATCGGTATGGCTCTCGCTTAGATTGCCCGCCTACAAGTGCCGAGTGGCTTTAACTTTGGCGCACATGTAAATTTCACTTCAAGGCTGACAAACACGTACGTGGAAATTCATTTGGGAAAAGCAGTAAGAGCGGCACATTACGTAAAAGCGCTTTTATGGCGACATTTCAAGCCCAATTCGTCACTTTGCCTCATTGCGGCAATTCACTTGCGACTTGTTTTCAACTAGGCAGGCATCAAGGCACGAAGGCATGAAGGCATGAATGAAGCGCACGTTGCGCCATTTTGGGAAACCCATTTTAGGCACTAAACAGATCTGCATGCATGCCACACAGATTTCTCCTAGTTGCATGCCTCAGTGTCCTTTTCCCTGTCAATATGACAAGAGCAGACAAAGCAAACATAAATAGGCGGCCCTTCGCATGAATTTCCTCTCGCCATTTCATAGAGATCCATCTCTATTATATATTTTCCAAGAAATGCACAGCTGGCGCAGGACAACTTTTGATTCCAATTCAGTTGTGACCTTGCACGTGTTTTTGAATACCTTATGGACAATGGAACAAATATAAATGACCTTGTCTCACAAGTTTCCGTTCGCTATGAGTTTATGTTATTGGATCTATTTATTATTTTCCAAGAAACTCACAAATTAAATAATAAATATTAATAAAGGAATATATGGAGGACTCATACAGTTATTAATAAACTGAAAAGTACGCTTCTATGCTCCCAATAGTAATGTTTAAAAATAATTGCTGAATAGGGCATATTGAATGAAATCGATTTATAACCGTGGAGGGACACCAATCCATACTTTAGTGAAGAAACGTCCATGGACTTTAAGGGAAAGTTTCCTCCAAAGACAGTTATGATATGCCCCAGAAGATTATTCAGTTCTTTGAGTGCACTTTCAAGTTCAAGAAATTAAAAAGGCTATACATAAACAAGAAAAATGTATCAATAATTAATCCATAAATTTATTTAAATGTTTTGTACAATTTTTTTTGTTTTCCCTGTCCGGTCAGGTGCTTCTAGTATTACTTACTTAAACATTGAATTAAATGTGTATATATTTATTTGTAGTTTATTTTTATTTGCAGTCAGAAACCAAGTTAAGGTTAGCTTTTAAGCAAGAGGCTTAACAATAGTTTAATAAGTAATATGTTCTCGTTTAGTCTCTACTCGGACACCAATTCTCCAAATGGGCTTAGGATATAGAAAATCTTCAAAAATATGTAATTTAAAAAAAAGATGTTGATTTAAAATGTTTATTTTATTTTTTTTAAATAGCAGAGTGTATTTTATTTAAAACTGTCCATCGTAGACAATCATTAAATTGGTTAAATGAACTTGACAATTTATTATTTCATTTATTATGAATATTGAACACATTCCATCAACAAGTTATACAATAATGTAAGAATCTGTTGGAAAGCCTATACTAAAGCCTATAATAAACCACTTATTAGTGATATTTTTCTAAAGTTCGCAAATATTTGTTATGCTACTTATTTGATTGTTTGAAATACAATTTTTCAATTCAAAGGGTTTATTTCTTGCAAAGTTTAAATCAGTATCAAATGGAAGAAAAAGTGACAGCTAACATGCACATAAATCAGTTGTATGAAACTCATTTTTCGTTTATAATTAATTTAGTTGCAGACTGCCAATGCGCCTAAAGAAACGGTTGGCTCCTGTAGACTTAAAATCATTTCTGTAAAACCCACACAGTTGGCAGCTGAATAATTTTAGACAGATATAAAGTTTTCTTTTGCCAATAATACTTCGCAAACTCTTGTGCACACTGAATCAGCTCTCAGTCAGCCAAATAATTTATGCCCGAACGCCTTTAAAGAAGCCTTCTTTTTCAATATATGTTTAATACACATCATTTTATTTTATTTGATTTTTTTTGGAGCTGGCGCACACAAATCGCATTACAGAGTCATTTTCAATTCAATAATAATGCCAGTTTGCTGGGTTATTAAAATTTTATATAAACATTTCATGCTGACTTGACTTCTTTCTTTTGTTATTATTGTTGTTGCTGTTGTTGTTGTTGCTCTTATGCTCGTAGGCGCCAAAATGTCAGCGACACGTTTCGTGCAGCGACAATTTATCATAAATATGCGCAAACACACACACACACACACATACGTGTATGCCCGGCTCTTTCATATAAATATGCGCATGGAAATAAATCCAGCGCCCTGTTTGGGGACCAACCTTATGGTGCCTGGTCCCGTCATGGCGCTGTTCGCGGTCGCCTTTTGTTTATGCCGCTGTCAGCGTTCGTTTAATTCAACATTAGCGCCTTGCAGGCAGGTCCGAGGTGTTTGCGACTGTTGCCAACGCAAATATACATACATACATACATACATACATACATGTATGTATGTATGTATATTCG